AGGTAAGTAATGCACTAAAAATATGTAATTATAGCCAAACATCACTACCCCACACTTAAACGTTGCTCGTCCTCGAGTCAACCAACACCTTACACTATCCTTGAGCACATTGTTTTTACACAGTTGAGGCACACCACCAATGACCATGGTTTATAGCAACAATTAAACCTTAGCATATGCAATCACATACACCTCCCTTTTTCTTATGCCAAAATTCAAAAATATTCAAATAAAGACAACATGCTCGTAACACTTTAGCCTCAAAAACCAACTCAATGTCACAATGCACTCATGGCTTGAACACCAACATCATAGAGAGAAGTCTAATAACGTTACCTATCCCTTGTGAAACCATGTGCCCTCACAATAAGAATAAGAGAGTAATTAGTTGAATCCATACATTCAAATCAAATGCTCAAATATATTTTAAGGACTCATGCATATCAAAGAAAATCTTTCACTCTCACAAAAGAAGTCACATGCATGCAATTGGCACCATAGGCTTGCCCTTAATGTAAATCTCTACTAATGTAGGCTCACTCAGTCTAAAATCAATTAGGACTTTTTTTTATGGTTGTAATGTGGGCTAAGGGACGTGAAGGACATATTTAGGAATAGTGGCTAACCCTCCTAAGCACTTCACCACATCACATAATCAACTGTAATCACAAATTCTTCAATCGCAATTTTAATTTCACAACTAAAATCATCCCTAACAACGTTCCCTCTTTCTTTAGGCACAACTTTAATCCATACCCACTAGCAAGAACAGGATATCAATTTATACATCTAAAGATTTTTTTTTTAAATCACCCCACACTTAATCCCTTCTCACTTCTTTTAGTGCTCATGTCACAATTAAAGTGTTTTAACAGGTAAAAGGATCAAAACAACGTAAATTAAGGATAAAAAAGGTATAGGCTTGTAATGTGGGTGCCAAATAAAAGTCTATAGGCTCAAAAGGGTTAACTAAAGAAAAATGTTATTTGTGATAGCGATAACACTCGAAAATATCAAAGAAAGCCTAAAATCATTTTTCAAACCGAGCATCACCTCAAATTTTGCTTCAATTTACTTACCGGGCAAGTTCTAGACACAAATACAATACATAGACTACACAAAACCTTACCACACATGGAACATGACTCACTAAGGACGGTCTCATTCTGACTCTCAACTAATGCAAGTATTCACAAAGCCACAAGATATTAAGCATTAAGCACAGAGTGAACATAACTCAAGAAAATAAGACATAGGCGTCACAAAATATGCTATCCAAATAACCAAGGCATCATAAGCACTTTTAGCACATAGGGAAGATACTATGCATGCCAAAACCTAAATATCCTACTATCAAACAACTCAAGGGCGCCTACGAATCTCATCTTTCTTCCTCCATTTATTCCTTAAATTCTAATCTACTCTGAAAATAAAAAAATAAAAGGAAAAACTACTACCCGGTTCAAACAAAATCCTTGGAAAACAACCGCGGCCCAAAGAAAAACCAAGGGGGAATTAATACACTACCTACAAAGAAAATCTTTTTGTCCTTTTTCTTTAGACTTAAATCCCTCAAGAAACCTGTCGAATGAGATCCATCGTCGGGAAAAGTCTAATTTCCTTATTTGTTTAACAAAAACTACTAATCATCTAGAGAAATTAATCATCTAGAGAAATTCTCCCACCCCACACTTAAAAGAGTGCAGTGTTCCCAATGCACAAATAAGCAAAATAATAACGAGGGTGGACAAGAAACTCCCTAAAAGACCAAAGGCCGAAGAAATAACGGCTTACGGGATACTCAGACTTCTCCCAAGGATGGTCCTTTGTGCGGCACCCCACACTTAGTTCTCACCATCTAACTCGCTTTTGCACTCTTCCAATGGCCTTGCCTCCTTTGCTTATAATCCTACAAAACAGAAACAAATACTACAACAATAATAAGAAAAAAATAGAAATAAATGAAAGCAGTAAAGATGGGTTGCCTCCTAACAAGCGCTTAATTTAACGTCGCAGCACGACGCATAATCTCGCTTACTCATCAGCGAGTACAACCTTGGTATTCTCACAATCGATTATTCCTCCTCAATAATGCTTTACTCTGTGTCCATTCACCAAAAATTATCTTTCACCATTCAAAGCTCACAGCTCAATTGCACCATAAGGAGTGACTCTCACTACCTCAAACGGGCTTGACTATCTTGATTTTAACTTTCCAGGAAATAGCCTTAGTCTAGAATTAAACTATAATACATGTTGGCCTGACTCGAAGTGACGCGGTTTGATATGCTTGTCATGCCATCTTTTTGTCTTTTCTTTGTAAAGCTTAGCATTTTCATAAGAGTGCAGCCTAAACTCATCTAACTGATTCAACTGCAAGAGTTTTTTCTCGCTCGCGGCTTCAAGGTCCATATTTAACTTCTTAATGGCCTAATATGCTTTGTGTTCAAGTTCAACAGGCAAGTGACATGCCTTCCCATAAACTAGCCTATACGGCGACCCCCCAATTGGCATTTTGTATGCAGTTCTATATGACCACAAGGCCTCATCTAAGTTTGCAACCCAATCCTTTCTATTCACACTCATCGTCTTCTCTAGGATTTGCTTTATTTCTCTATTAGACACCTCAGCTTGTCCACTTGTTTGAGGATGATATGCCGTCACAACTCTATGGCAGACTCCATATTTAGCTAGAAGGTTATTCAACAACCGATTGAAAATGTGTGTCCCTTCATCACTAATCAGGGCATTTGGAGTCCCGAATCTCAAAAATATGTTCAACCACCATGGCATCATTCGTTGGCAATGCGATCGCCTCTACCCATTTTGACACGTAATCAACTACTAGCAAAATGTATTTGTTTCCTATGGACAATGGGAATGGTCCCATAAAATCTATCCCCCACACATCAAAAATCTCGACCTCCAGGATATTATTCAAAGGCATCTCATGCCTCTTTGTGGTTGTTCCTGTTCTCTGACACTGGTCACACTTCCTAACAAATGCATGGGCGTCCTTGAATAATGTTGGCCAAAGTAAACCGGATAGTAATACCTTTGCAGCTGTTCTATCGCCTCCATCATGGCCCCCATAGGGTGATACATGACAATCATACAATACTAGTTCGACCTCCTTTTCAGGTATGCATCTCCTCATCATTTGGCCAGCACACTGCTTGTACAAATATGGCTCATCCCAATAGTAGAAGTTCACATTATGTAGAAACCTCTGTCTAGCTTTAGATTCAATTTCAGGAGGAAGTACCCTGCTCACTAGATAATTCACATAGTCCGCGTACCATGGGGGAGGCTCTTGGGTGATAGCAAAAAGTTGCTTATCAGGAAATACTTCTTTAATTTGGTCACCCTCCTCCACATGGTCGTGATTTTCCAGCCTTGATAGATGGTAAGCTACTTGGTTCTCTATGCCCTTTCGATCTCGTATTTCCACATCAAATTTCTGCAACAACAAAACCCAACGCATCAATCTAGCCTTAGATTCCTTCTTTGTAAATAGATACCTGATTGATGCATGATCGGTATGGACTATGACTTTTGTTCCCACTAAGTATGCCCAAAATTTCTCAAATGCCCACATCGCAGCTAACAATTTCTTTTTAGTGGTGGTGTAATTCAGCTACGCATCATCAAGAGTCTTACTCGCATAGTAGATGTAATAAAATATTTTGTCCTTCCTCTGGCCTAGCACTGCCCCAATAGCATGGCCACTTGCATCACAAATAAGCTCAAATGGTAAGGACCAATCTGGTGCGGCAATAATGGGGGCAACCACCAGCTTCTTTTTGAGCTCTTCGAATGCTTTCAGGCAGGCATCGTCAAAATTGAAAGTCATATCTTTTTCAAGCAACCTGCACAAAAGAGAAGCAATTTTAGAAAAATCTTTAATAAAGTGTCGATAGAATCTCGCGTGTCCCAAGAAACTCCGGAGACCCTTCACAGAAATGGGTGGAGGTAATTTTTCAATCGCCTCCACCTTCGCCTTATCAACTTCAATGCCACTCCTAGACACTCTCTAACCCAACAGGATCCCTTCTTGCACCATAAAATGGCACTTTTCCCAATTCAATACCAGATTTGTTTCTTCACAACGGGCCAACACCTTTCTAAAATTCTTCAAACAATCATTATAAGAAGACCCAAAGACTGAAAAATCATCCATAAAAACTTCCACAAATATTTCCACCATGTCGGTGAAAATAGCTATCATGCATCTCTCGAAAGTAGGTGGGGCATTACAAAGACCAAACGGCATTCGCTTGAAAGCGAAAGTGCCATAAGGACAAGTAAAAGTGGTCTTCTCCTGATCCTCTGGGCATATGATGATCTGTTTGTACCCCGAATAACCATTAAGGAAGCAATAATAATCATGCCCCGCCAATCTGTCCAACATTTGGTCAATGAATGGAAGTGGGAAGTGGTCCTTGCTTGTTGCTTTGTTGAGCTTTCTGTAATCAATGCAACTCTCCACCCCGTCACAATGCGAGTAGGAATTAGCTTATGTTTTTCATTCTCAACCATAGTCATCCCTTCGCATAGTTGTTATCAGGTATGGGAAAGATGATACCTACATCGAGCCACTTAATTACTTCATTTTTCATGACTTCTTTCATGATAGGATTCAATCTCTTCTGCTGCTCAACACTGGGGCGGTGTCCATCTTTCAGAAAGATTTTATGCATGCAAAACGATGGACTAATTCCTTTGATGTCAGTAATTATCCACCATATAGCCATTTTATGCTTGCGAAGTACTCTAAGCAATTTTTCTTCTTATACATTCATCAGGCTAGACGAGATAATTACTGGTAATGTTTCAGAGTTCCCCAAATAAGCATAGCATAGATGTGCTGGAAGGGGCTTTAATTCTAGCTTTGGAGCTTCCTCAATAGATGGCTTAGGAAGGTTCAGAGTAACATGCCTGCCCAACTCCTCAAACATCCCAAACCCATGGACATAATTGCATGATGTATCAAGTACTTGTTAAATTTTGCCCATCATCATATCTTCAATGTCTTCCTCATTCCCAATCAAAGCTCTTTCAAAAGGATCTATGGGGCTCATATAAGGCACCGATGACATAGCATTGCTTTCCACTTCAGAAATTATGGATAGCTCTTCATAGTGGGCTGGCAATCTGAGTGCTTTGTACACATTAAATACCTCCACTTGATCACCTACTCTCATCGTCATCTTTCCTTCGCATACATCAATAATAGCTTCGCCTGTGGCTAAGAATGGATGCCCCAAAACAAATGGGACATCCTGTTCAGGCTCGTAGTCCAAGATAATGAAATCAGCAGGGAATATGAAAGAACCCACTTGAACTAACACATCTTCAATCACTCCTTCCGGATGAGCAAGGGAGAGATCATCCAACAGTAAGATCATATTTGTTGGGCGCGGATTACCCAAACCCAACTGCCTAAACACAAATAGCGACATCAGATTGCTGCTCGCTCCAAGATCACACAAAGCTCGCCCGACTGCATGCTTACCAACCGAGATTTGGATAGTGAAACTACCTGGATCCTTCAATTTCTGAGGTAGCTTGCTTTGGATTGTAGAGCTACATTCCTTAGTGAGTGCCACAGTCTCGAATTCAGTTAGACTCCTTTTATTTGCCACTATGTCCTTGATGTATTTTGCATATTTGGGCACTTCTTGCAGGATGTCTACCAGTGGAATATTTATTTGCACCTGCTTCAAAATATCAAGAAATTATTTATATGCGGCATTATCCTTCACTTTCTTCAATCTTTGAGGGAACGAAGGTGGTGGCCTCGCAACTGATGGTGGGGGTTCCTTAGCCACCGCCTCTTCAACTGGCTTCTCGGACTCCTTTGATTTTTCTGATTCTAACTCTATAGTGGCCGGCTTCTCATTAAAGGTCACTTGTTTTCTCTTTTTCGATTGGACTTCTTCTAATTGTCTCTCATTCCTCAATGAGACAACATTAATAGATGCCTTAGGATTAGCCTCAGTGTCACTTGGAAGAGCTCCAACTGGTAGAGAATTTTGGGCACTGATAAGTTGTCCCATTTGGCGCTCCAAATTTCTCATTGTTGCGGCTTGAGCCTACTGGTCAACCATTACTTTATTTATCATCTCTGCGGTATGGGCTTGCTGGTCAGCCATCAATATTTTCATCATTTCCTCAATATGATTTGTTGAGTTCGCCTGTTCTTCAGCCTGAGGTGGTCTATATTGTTGTTGAGGTGCTTGTGGTCGGTATTGATTTTAAGTACCTTGATTTCCACCCCAAGAGAAGTTTGGGTGGTTCATCCAGTTGGGATTGTAAGTTTTTCGATATTGGTTTTTCTGGCCCCTATTTGTATTACCCACAAAACAGACAGACTATGGATTAACTGGGCATAAGTCGCTCGTGTGACCCTCTCCACATACTTCACAAAACACTTGAACTTGCTGCACTGGTTGAGCTTGTTAATAAGCAAGATCATCTGATTGACTTGGTTGGTCAGTGTAGAAATTTGCGCTGATAATGCCGAGATGACATCTAACTCGAGAACCCCTGTATATTTTTGCACCCGTGTGTCTTCCCATTTATCCTTGCCAATCCGGATTGCTTTTGGAGAATTTGTTCAATAATGCATATATCTCATCAAAGCTTTTCTCCAACACTTGACCTCCAACTGCAATATCTACCACAATTTTTGTTTCAGGATGTAGCTCTTCTATGAAAGTGTGAGCTAACACTTTGTTTGTTTGATTATGATGAGGACAATCTCTGAGTAGCCCCTTGAACCTCTCCTAAGCTGAGTATAGAGACTCCCCTGCTTTCTGTTTGAAGGTAACTATCTCACTTCTGATCTTTGCAGTTTTGCCTGAAGGGAAAAACCTTGCCAGAAATTTCCTTGAAAGATCATTCCATGATGTAATAGAATTAGATAGTTCTGCCTTCGGCCATCGCTTTGCTTCACCCAACAGAGAGAATGGGAAAAGCGTGAGCCTCACATAGTCTGGTGGGAACCCATTAGTGATGTAAGTATTACTAATCTCCAAGAAGTTCAGGATATGCTATTGTGGATCCTCGTGTGGAACACCCATAAACTGCCCATTCGCATGAAGTAGTTGGATCATGCTCTGTTTTAACTCAAAGTGCAAGTGATTCTGGGCTTCACAATGCTGGAGGTGACACTAGAAATGCTGGGCATCGCCACTTCCTGAACAGCCATGTGTTGCTCGTCTGCCATGTTCATAGGAGATTGAGCGAGTGCCTGAAGATTATTTGTATCCCTTGCTTCCCTCAACCTCCTATGAAATGTTCTCTCAGGTTCGGGGTCAAAGCCTTTAAGTCTATCCTGGCTTCTGACCCTGCGCATTCAGTTGAAGTTCCAGAGATCAGAGCAACAATCAAGTAGCGTTAGACTTGACGAAATAAACAATTAAAGCAAAAACTAAAAAGTAGTTGATATTCAAGTCACCGGTAGCGCCGCCAAAAACTTGTTGCTCTCAAATGCACACGCAAGTATACGTGGTCGTACAAGTAATAAAATGATAAGTCTAGTGTCGAACCCATAGAGACTTATATCAACTACCCACTAAATTCACCCAGATTGTTATTCAGTCAAGCAAAAATCGAGTTCAAGAATGTGATTATACTTAACTATAATTCTAAGGAGTAACTAAATTATCAAGTAGCAAAATAATTGTGGTGTATTCAGTAGAGACAAATATTCCAGGGTTATGATCGATTCACCAATCCTATTGTGTTCTAGTTAACTCTCTCCTTTTCATACAATTTACTCATGGTTGCTAATTAATCGAACAATTGTCTCATAGCTTTCTCCCGAAGTACTACTCGCCTATTCAAAATAGATTAACTCCTATATTCCTATGAAATCAATCTATCAAGAATGCATTAAGATTGCGATATTTAATTAAGCACGGTGACTAGGTATATTCCTATCCTAACCACAAATCTGCCCCCTAAGAGTTAAGATCATGCTCTCTTCAATTATTCTCAAATCTAAACANTCTTTAATTCTTTTCTAATCTAGACATAGCTTTCCCAAGCATAGCATAGATAGTAAATAGAACCTAACTGTTGGCCAGACAATTAAGCAATTATTCATAGAATTAAAGAAATAACCATATATTAGGGAATTATGATCAAGGTAAATTCAATTTCGAACAACAATATTCATGATTAAATCATAACCCAGAACTTATGGGTTTTAGCCACTCATGATAAAGTTAGATAATTTCACATGTGTTTGAATAGTTGAAAATACTAAGAAAAATAAAGAAAAACTGAGAATCCTTGCTCCTGAGTATTGCGTGTGTGTGTTTTCCTCTCAAAGTGGAGTCCCTCCCTTCAAAAGAGGTTTAGACTTCTTTTTATACGAGTTGGGGGTGGGGAGGGGGAGGGAGGGTGTAGGACTGATAACCTTTTCCCGAGCGAAGGGGGAAAACAATCTTGTCACTTAGTGTCCAGGGTAGCGCTAGCCTGTTGGCCAAATATTTCAGGTTTGTAATTTGCGCCACGGGTAGCGCGATGCACTACCCTGGATGCTAGAATTCGGTACTTGTCTATTTTTCATCTTCTTTAGCTCAAACTCATGCTTATTCATACCATTTCACTCCCAATTGATTCTTACACATATAAACACCAAATATTAGCTCAACCCATTGATATAACACATTAAATTCAACANACAGAATTGAAGAAACAACCATATATTAGTAAATTGTAATCAAGGTTAAGTCAACGTAAAACAATAATATTCATGACTAAATCACAACCACGAAACTATGGGTTTTAGCCACTCATGTTCATAGAAAAAAATTTCCAAGTATTTTGTATAAATAAATTACAAGGCAAGATAAAGGGATGAAGAACTCTATGATTTTCTCCTCCAAAAGTTGTCCACGTGATGTTCTTGCATCCGTTCGCAAAACTCCTCTCAAAATGGTGTTTAATGACTATTTATATGTGTAGGAAAAAGACCTAAACGAAATAATCAAGACCCAACCCAAATAGGAGACAAAATAGGCTTAAAAACACGGAACACAGTCGCTACAGGCCTTGCCTCGCGAGGCAAAACGCAAGCATCACCTCGCTTTACACTGTGCGTCGCAAGCTTCACCACGTGGAACCTCTCGTTGCAGACCTGGCGACGCAAGCTTTATTGCGCGTAAATTCCCTTGTTTCTCCTGCGCTAACGCGAGCTTACTCCCTCGCATCGCTTGCTCCTTGTTCTGCTTCGCTTTTCATTCTTGCTTTGCTTTTCCTAACTTTCCAAGTCACATTTTTGTCTTTCCTTTCCAACTCCTATTGTTCCCTTTCCACATTGAATAATTTTGGTCCTCCATCATAAAGACACTATTTAAGATTAATTCACCATGTACCCCAAATTTGTCATTTTGTTCAACATTCATCTCCAACGTACCTACACATAAAATAAACTCAATTAAGCACAAATATAGTATAGTTTAGCATTAAAGTCCCAAAATGCAAGGTAAGTAATGCACTAAAAATTTATAATTATTGCCAAACATCAATTGGTCAGCCCAAAAGACATCACAAGAAACTCATAGTGACCATTGCGGGTCCAGAAAGCCGTCTTCAGAATATCTTTAACCGTGATGATACCCTAAACTCAAATCAATCTTCGAGAATACTCTAGCACCCTAAAGCTGATCAAATAAGTCATCAATGCGCAGTAGTGGGCACTTGTTCTTAAATGTAACTTTGTCCAGCTGCTTGTAGTCAGCACGCATCCTCATAATACTATCCTTATTTACAAATAGAACTGGTGGACCCAAAGGTGACACACTGGGCCTGATGAAGCCGTTATCAAGAAACTCCTGAAGTTGTTCCTTTAACTCCTTCAATTTTGTTGGTGCCATGCGATACAGTGGAATATAAATGGGCTGAGTGCCTGACACCAGATCAATACAAAAATCAATGTCCCTATCGGGTGGCATGCTCGACAGGTCTGCTAGAAATATATCTGGGAGGTCTCTCACTACCATAGCTGACTCAACGGTAGGAGTATCAATACTAACATCCCTCGCGAAGGCCAAATATTCCAAACATCCCTTCTCAATCATCCATTGAGCCTTCAAATGTGAAATCACTCTACTAGTAACATAATGTAGGGAGACTCTCCACTCTTACCTTGGCACCCCCGACATCGCCAACGTCATGGTCTTAGCATGACAATCAAGGATAGCTTGATATGGTGAAAACCAGTCCATGCCCAAAATCACGTCAAAATCAACCATGCTAAAACATAAAAGATCAACTCTCATCTCATATCCCCCAAAAGTCACCACACACGACCGATATACACGGGTGGTGTGGCAATTGTGCAGGAGTCATAGTCTGAACTCCGTAGCGCACTGGACCTCTGTAATGACGGGGAAAATACTTGCTCACATGCCCTAACTCTCCACAATCATGCCAACCTCGAACTAGGAATGACTGTGGGGCCTGAATTAGACCCCGAGAACTGGAATAACCATTAGAAGAACCTGGTACAAACGAACACCAAACTAACGGAGAACGGTATGAGCTCTAAGCTATAAGTGCACTGAAGAATGATTGAACAAGGCGAGCGTTATATGAACTGTGGCTAGCTTATGCACCATGATTAACTAGATGAGCCATCTAAGCGGGCCTGAAAGGTCGAACACTGTTATGATGTGACTGACCTCCAAATGAGGTACCACTAAAACCACCTGAACCACGGGGACTCTTTCCCTCTCATTCCTTGCGCTCAAGTCTGCGAACCTGCTCTAAGGTCCTTGCAATCTCGACCACCTGGTCAAACATAGCTTCTGTCTCAGCCTCTCGAGCCAAACTATATGGTAGACCATAATTGAGGCTATCAGTGAACCTCCCTATCCACTCTCTCTAAGTAGGAACTAACCATATAGCATGAGAGGCCAGATCCGCGAATCTCATCTCGTACTAAGTCACTGTCATATTCCCCTTGCGTAACTGCTAAAAATCTGTACGCAGCTCCTCTCTACGAGTGTGTGGAACAAATTTCTCTAAGAAGACAACTGAGAACTCTTGCCTAGTAAGTGGTGCC